GATACGCAAGCGGTTTTATTTCGATGCACGATATCGCAAGATCTTGCTTTAATTAAAGCGTACGAGGTGGAAGGGGCAGCTGCCTTCATAATCCTTTTCTTGCTGATTATTTCAGCAAAAAAAAAAAGTTATTCCGAATAAGGAGTGCATGTAATATTAACACACAATTTATAAAAACTGTATATTTCGAATCAAATCTGATTCATCTTTAGCAGTGTTTTGCAAGATATGTCGTTTAACGGCATATCTTGCAAAACACTGCTGAAGATGAATCAGATTTGATTCGAAATATACAGGACTATTTATTAATACTTTTGCTTTATTTTTGCTGCCTTCCTTCCCATACAACTATACTACCTCGTTGTGAGGATATAATTTGAATATCAAAAATTGTCAAATGTCTCAAGAACGAAGCAAGCTAAAAGAGTTTGGCAAAGTATCGGTTTGATTTTTCTTTACCTTGCAATCATAAAAAAGGTTTTAATTAAATTTCGTTGCGTGAGTTTGAACTACAATTATTTTGACAATTTCTTGTATACGGTCATCTGCCGAAGTAGACTTTAATATATTCATTGCTTAATTAATCCGCTGCATTATAAGTAGCAACAAACAATTTACCTTTCTTGACAGTCTTGTCCAGTCATATCCTTCCATTGGTCGAGGGCATATTGTAAACACTGGACTGGACTTTGGACTGGACTTTGGACTATGGACTTTGGACTTTGGACTTTCGATTTTGAAATTATATTATTTTTTAGATTTTCGTTTAATTATATTAAAATCTAAACAGAGAACGAAAATTTGCTGCTGAAAAGCGTGCTGCACTGCATGCACATGCATGATATAATATACAAGGTAAAAAATACTCAATATCAGTTATATAGGTATACCAGCAATGCAATTTCATACGGATATAGCCTGTAGGCTAGCAGGATTATACAATATTTTGGGATTTAATATTTAAATTTTATATAATATTTGTATTTATAGTATATGCATAGTACAGTTTATACTGCAGAACTTCTTCTTTATCATATAGATAATAGATTAATTGTGACAAAAGAAACAATTGTGACAAAAGTGTCTCGGCAAATACAAAATATTAACTATACAAGTGATTATTATTGCGCCTATTGAGTGTTGTATACATTCTATTGACTGTTCATCTTTACATAATATAGTTATTATTATTATTATTAAGTTATATTCAGTTATTATTAATAAGTGTTAGTAGATGGACAGGAATATTCGAACGGAAATTTACACACTTTTTAAGACCTACTCAGTTGTGTGTGAGAAGGCAAAAATCTATGTCTATGTGCTTCAGGTAGCAACTAAATGCCACGTTTACTGTAATACTATACTACCACTTGCAAGTGATGAACCAAGTGGGAATCGTAATCGTAGTATAAAGATTAATGCCCAGCATAACGTACGCAAAAGAGCCATATATAGACAATAATATAGACAATAATATAGACAGATTATCATAAAGTAATCAGTACTACCAATTTTAATAATAATGTATCATACATTCGTATTTTATAAAGTATGATGACTATGAGAGTTCGTGTTCACTATGGCTGAATACATTTATGAAAAGCTAAAATTGACACAGACAAAATACATTGCAATACATTTGAAACACAGCCTATTTAGGCAGGCGCTAAACCGGTGTAAACTATTATGCAAAGATGAACAATACCGTCATTAGTATTTTTGCGCAAGTGAATAAATATATAACAAATCCTATAAGTTGTCAAGTTGATTGGTCAAATTTGACAGATTCCCCGATAACTCCGATAATCACGGCCTCGCCTTTGGCGAATAATTGTTCAAAGCCAAAGGCGCAATAACAATCGCGTGTAGTTTATACTTAATATACGGGATAGTTTCTCAATATTTTGTATTGGCCAAGATATTTTTGTCACAATTGTTTCTATAAACTATTATCTATACCGACTATACGATAAAGAAGAAGTTCTGCAGTATAAACTGTACTATACATACTGTAAATACAAATATTATAATAAAATTTAAATATTAAATAAAAATATTACTGAGATGATCCTGTTATCCCACAGGCTATATCTATGAAATTGCACTGGTATACCTATACGTATAACTGATAGTATTTTTTACCTTGAATATTATTATCATGCACAAATTTTCGTTCTCTGTTTAGATTTTAATTAATATAATTATACGAAAATCTTAAAAATAATATAATTTCAAAATCGAAAGTCCAAAGTCCATAGTCCAAAGTCCAAAGTCCAGTCCAAAGTCCAGTCCAGTGTTTACAATATGCCATTGGTCGAGAGCCATGATCTACTGGAGGAAAGCACGAAAAATACGTCAAACAAACGTGCCAACAATTTAAAAATAAATGTTGACGTCATGCTGTGTACATCTATACTGTATACTGAACAGACAATGGCAAAATTTTATGTACGTGTTAAATAAAATATTTATGTAAATTAAGTTTTTCTCTAAACTACTGTGTCTAAACTGTTCTCACTAAATGTGCAGTTAGGGCCAGACTTATATTGGTCAATTCAGAGCTACTACAGGAGGAAACACTACCACGTAACATCAAAATGTATTTTAACTTACAATAGAAATCAATACACCCTTTTCATAAATGGCTGCCGATTAAAAATTCTTTTATGTGCATATAAATTGGCCCAACTATAGCCTCGCTTCTGGGTAAAAATTCCTTTGAAATCTTAACATGAGTACGAGGCTAGTTGGGCCAATTTATATGCACATAAAAGAATTTTTAATCGGCAACCATTTATGAAAAGGGTGTATTAGCACGCTCTTACCTGACCGCCTGCATATTTTCAACAGAAGGACATATTTTCGAAGCAGACACATTTTGAAATTGTATTCGTGGTCATAAACATACTTTCAACCAAAACACAGCCAATAAACCAAGTCTAAATACGAAATTGCCATAAGTGACCATACCCAATACTGTAGTAGAAATATATCGGTGGAAACTTTGCTTAAAAATCCAGTTCTTGCAAGCGAAGTCCGGTTAATAGACAACGTTGTATTAACTTTTCCGTTCCCGGTGTCAGAACCGCATCATATCGTCAACCTGTGTCCAAATCTTGCCGAACGCTTACAGAATTTTCTAATCTGGCAATTGTCCATTTTAATGTCAACGTGCTAGCTTAGCGTATAGATTCCTGAACCGCAGCGATGAACCGCATGTCCCAGGCGAAAGAGAGAGTTTAGAATAATCGCTGTTTGGGCCATGTTGTCGCAGTAAACTTTACCCAACACATGTTTGGAATGATGAAATGAAAGAATTCGACCTGATGAGCGATTTCGTTTTAATATCGGGCGTTTTGCTGAAGAATATCGACACTGATTCCTTGATGCAGTACGAGGATTAACGACTAGAAATGCAAATGATAATTCAAAACGTTAAATAAGTTGTTTGTGCAATGCATGAAACGGTGTTTTGCATAATTTACTCTAACAATAATTATGCATGTCATCCAGCCACAATCCAATGACCAGAATGTTTTATTGTCTTTGAATTGTTTTTGAAATCCCACTGTTCTCTACCCCACTCTTTGAGTCACTAACAGCCACTCTTCGAGTCTTTGTTTTGGCATATTCGTGACGGTATGAATATACAGTAGATTGACTGCAACCAATCTCTTGGAAATTTAAGGACAATAAAACAGGCCAAAAATGATATAATTACAAGTAAGTCATATTATCAGTTCGGGCTGTTCGGCAGAAATCGTATCAACTCACCACAGAACGAGTTTTCATTGCTATAACGTTGCGTGTTACAAACATTCTTTTAAACAGTTTCGTTATGAATAAAATTTACTTATGAGTTATGTCAAGCTTTTATGCACTTTTGGCTTCAGCAGAGTGCTGAGGCATTCAAATTCTAACAATAAGTTATTTCAATATAGTTTTGGTTTTTTGGAACACCCTGTATAAAGCCAAGGTTCGATTTCATGTCCTAAAGCTGTTGCCATGCAGGGACAAAAAATAAACAAAAATTTCGTTTTCCTGCCAATATCGTGGGGGAAGATTTACCAAGCACTTCGCATTAGCGCACCTCATATATGAAGCAAGCAAGAAACTGGCCCAGCAAGACAAGCCAGCCTGGATTTTACTACAACGCCTTAGACAGTGATTAGGGAGTTTACGCATGTACGACGGCGGCGAAAGGACGACGGCTAAACAAACTTTTTGAAATAAATGATTGTATGAAAATGTTGTCCTGTATTTACTTTCTTATGAATTTAATGCAGTTTAGAACGAGTAAAACAGAGCTTTAACCTTCAGAGCAATTTTGATCAACGCTGTTAGAAAAATCACCTGCCACGGCTTGAAATGCTAGCGTACTTTACAAGACGTGAAAATATGCATTTTGCCGTCGTCAACAGAGCATGGACGACGTCTGAAACTCCAGATATACTTTTAATTGTTCATTTCTTTTGTGCCATAGGATTAATAATATTGTATTGATAGCCGTCGTCCTGATGTTGCCGTCTTATATGCGTAAACTCCCTAATAAGCAGCGCCAAGGCCTCCGAGTTTTTATTTGTACAGTCTTTGAAGTTCTGCATGGGTCGAGAAGATTTCCACGCAGAAGCCACAAAGTTTCAGAATCTTAACCACTCACACATTTGTTTTGACAGGTATAAACCGAGAGTTGCAAAAACATGCATTGTTATTATTAATATGAATGACCTCCTAATTTTATTCAATGAAGAGGCTCGTTTTCCCTTTATTTCTTCTCTTTGGTTTAGATATACAAAAACAAAAGGGTTTACATACGTCTGAAAGTTATCCTGTCGAGGGCGATGGTAAGGGTGTCGAAGGCATGGTCGTTAGGACTTGGTTTCGTTTCCTGTATATAAGCGTGTATGCAGAGCTATTTTCTCCTGGTACTACAGTTGCCTCTCAGTATGAACAGGCCACAAGATATGGCCCTTCATGACGAAGTGCAGAAAATGAAAGTCTGAAAGGCTATTTAGGTTATTATTTGGTTCATTATTACCAATACAAAACAGGTTCCAAATTGCTTTGTTTTGATTTTTGCGGTAGCAATTACAGCTCTAGCAGGCTTTAAAGTTTATAGTGTGTTTCTTTTGATTCATAAAACTGTAAATATTTAATCCATTTCGTAGTCCAAATTATTTCGTGAAGCTAGCTGGAGAAGTTACTGACAAGGTTTCTGATTTTGAAGAAATTTCATGTAAGTTGGTATATAATTACATTTTTTATATAAAATATTTTAAATTTGGGGGCATTATCAGCCACTTATATGTCAAGAGAAGAAATCTTTAATGTTGCAAACCATATTAAAATCACTTTGACGTTTTAAGCGAATGATGTCCTTTATTTATTTGTTAAGGAACGTGGTATATAAGAGCCACTGTGTGGGCAAAAGAAATTACTATTAATATATTTAAGTAGAGGAGTTAAAGAAGTCATCCAGGCTAGGTTTAAAATGGTTGAAAAAAATACATATTCCACGTTTTGCATGTATATGGCCCGAAGATTTCAAGCAACTAGAAGTATAAACTAAGTCAAGTCTAAGTGTTCTAAACAGCCATGTAACTGGCATTACTATATATATATAGTATGATATCTCTGAACGGCAAAGCCCTGGCTTAAGCTCGTTAAGATTCCATACACTGATTACCAGTAATTCATTTCAACTGATAGTTCCGCCCGTTACTCGTTAAGCCGGTTTTCCACCAGGCGGAATTTTGCGCGCGGAGCGGAATTTTTCTATATCTTCTGATTTCTCGGGTGGAACTAATTAGAAAAGGCAAAGAAAATTTACGCTGCGTGCGCAAAATTGCGCCTAGTAGAAAACCGGCTTTAGGCTTGCAAGTCCCACAAAAAATTCTTAAGACCTAACCTAAAAAGTTAATTTAAACATTCAATATACTTTTGCTGAATTTGCTATCGCACTCGAGAGGAAGAGCAGAAGTAAAAGCAACGGAATTCATATATAAAATTATAAATCGCTTTTTCGCAAAACCAAACTGGCTAAAGTTCTTGTGTAACGTAGCAACTGTAACTATGCAAACTGTAGGAAATATTAATCAGGGGCGTCGGAGCGGCTCTGAAAGTGGAGGGGGCGGGATAATGCCCCTGAAAGTCTCTGAAATGCGATTTCCTGCACTCTAGGAGGAGATTTACAGAGTTGTAAAGATGACAAAACGTCATAAAATATATCCAATTGTTTTCTATACAGACGTAACTGAAATAATATCAGTTAACTTGGTGGATTATTGACCATTGTTAAAAAGTGTGTGTGTGTGTGTGTGTGTGTGTGTGTGTGTGTGTGTGTGTGTGTAGACATTTAGCCCTCCCCCCCCAACTAAAAAGTGGGGGGAGCGGGCCCGCTTCCGATATTAATGAATCTTTCTCTGGACGAGATCAGCCTTACAATTCTTAGAAAGCTCAAGCGCCATTGTTTTAAATGGTTTTTATTTTTTTACTTACTAATTCCCCCGAAATAACTCATAACGTAACGATGACCAATAGTAATTGTCACATAGCTCAGTGACAAAAATAACCATATTTTTACAATTATAAATTAGGAAAGGGTTTATAAACTTTATAATATTACGCAATGGTTGTGTGCATGGCAGTGATATTTACAATTGAATCTCTCCAAACAATTGAATCTCTCCACGGATACTTCTCTCATGCGGGCACTTTGGTCTATCCGTTTATGCATTAAGCTATAACCACATCAATTTAAGCATCTGTTCACAGACTGAAGTGTTCACTGTTCAAGTAGCCGATGTAATACATGGGCTTAAGAAATCTGATCTGGAGTTAAACAGCATAAAATACTTAAGTCATCTTTCGTACAATCAACTGCTAAATTACAAAGTTGAAAGATCTTCTATAGTTTGTCTACACCTTAATTATGGCCTATAATGCCTGTCTATGAAACGACAATACAGAACCTGCATCATTTGCGCAAACGTATAGTCGTATATAGGTGCATGTAGTAATTAACAATCATGACTAATTATCGTTTTAATTTGTTTTAAACTTTTTTTATAGAATGAAGTCATATTTGTTCGTAGCGATGACCATTTGTAATTGTTTCGTAGCTCAATCATGCGATTTGTGGGGAAAACCTGACAGATCTAAAATCAATGAAGACCCAAGTCAAACATGTAGTCTCACGTTCAACGAAACCGATATTTGCACGCTGTTTAAGTTGGCACAAGATAAATTTATCAATATCGTGAACCTGCAGCCAAAGTTTTCTTCAAGCGATATTACTCAAATGATACAGAAATGGCAATGGGTCTGGGTTGGTAAAATTGGACACGAGATTATATCAGCGCTCGCAATGACAAATTTTTCATCCACTTCAACTTTGACAGTTGGCATCAAAACCGTGAGTGTTCGTGTTTACGATAACCCTCAAGGATGCATTACACAAAAGAAAGACATGCTAGATTTTATGGCTGGGGAAATGCTTTTACGATTTGAGAATACCAACGTCGAGAGGAAACTGTGCTATAACGATTCATCCTCCTCACATACGTACAGATGTTGTCAAGTAATCTCTGAAAATAGTTGGAGAAAATATCAGTGCTCTGCTATCTCTGAATCTCGTTTCACAAGTGCTCTTAAATTTTCATCATCATTCATGCTTCCTTTCTTCTTTACTGTGTTTGGAATTTTTCTATCTATTTATTTATTTATATTCTCACCCTCGTTACCAGAGAATCGTATTAGTCATGCAGGCTATTACGAACTGACTTATAGTCCGTTGTCAATATATTCCATTTGTGTAATGTTGTTATGGGAAGAATACGGATTATTTAAATCCTTTGCTAGAAGGGTTTTGGTAATAGTAGTGATATATTTCTTTTTAGAAGATACATGGTATATTAAGATCATCTTTTTTTTGTGGGTTATGTTATTTCTTTTTTCTAAATTAGAACCAGTCGATCCTGCACAAGTTCTGCCTAATTATAATGAAGATCTCAAAAACTTACCAGGATATATACTTAGCAAAGTTCTTTCATCTTGTCTGGTTTTTGAAATGCTAGATATACATACTGAGTGTTATAGGCATTACCTTGGTGCAATAAATTTAATCACACTTCCCTTTAACATCACACGCTGGAAAAAAGCTCTTTTGAAACGTTACGGGGGAATGTGTCAGAATTGCACATGTTTTGGCAGAGAAATTCTTAATAAATGTGTCGGACATTTTTTCCTTTTTGTTCGAATTCTGGTTGAGAGTCCGTTTTATATTTTGATCGTACTAATTTTGCAAGTTATCATTATATTTTATACTCTTCTCCAATTTTGGCTTGTATTGGTGTCCACACGGTTTTGTCTTTCTGAATCTGTAAAGAAAAGCCTTTGTTTCGGGATTTTAGATTTTTTAACTTTACATCTTTCGGTAGGGTTTTTTTTTATTGCCATTAACAATTTTGCGTCTTTGGTTCTGTCGTGGTCTGCTGGCTTGGTTCTTAATATTTTCTACTACTTTCCTTATATCACTTTCGGTTCTGTCCTGTCGTTTTATTCATGGAATTGTTGGAAATATATTGAAGAGCAATATCTCACCTTGAAAACTTTAATTTACGAAGAATGTCGAGATTCACCGAACGATAAAAAATGTATAATAGTTTTGTTTGTGGAAACACCACGTAAATTTATTACTGCAAAGATTTATATGTTTTATCTCCATGCAAACATACAAAGAACTGATAAAAAATGTGTTGTACAAATTCTAGAAGATAAAGTTGGCAATACAGGTGAAGTGAAAAGCGATGTCGTTTCTATGGATCCGGCAGCAATGAATAAATTTGAAAAAACATACGGCAACACTAAAGTTGTGCAAGTAGTTTCAAAACAACTTTATGAAAAAGTGAGAGAAAATCTTCTACCGTACCACTGGAACCTGTTTCTTTTTTGGTGGAAACTTATGGCCATCTTCGTTTTTGCATATTTCGTGCTTACGTTGGTTGAAATTCTTCAAGAAAATGATACTTTGCCTACAGTTAATATATTGACCACATTTTGTGTGGGTGCGTTCCCACATCTTATGAACATGCTGGTGGCCAAACATAGCGAGGAGCAGGAAAACGCTTGGAAAGAAGAGCTGAAAGTGCGGGTAAAACGTTTGGTATATAAACTTTCAGCCGATGATAACATAACATCTGTATTACTAGTACAAGGACAAAACAATGGTTCACAAGTATGGATTCCCTTTTCAACATTTAGTACCACCGGGCGCGCATATAGGCAATGCAACTTTCAATAAGCCCATTGACCTCTTTATAGTTCTCTGAAGATTGCCAACGGGCATGAAACTCTGAGTAGCGACGTATGTTTGAGTAGTTTAACCAATAATAAATCATACGCTCTAAAACATCGTATCGAGCGCAACATTTGTTTACTATAATATATTCTTATATTCTATACTTTTACTATAATGCATGGTAATATAATATATTGTAATACACTTTTACTATAATACATTATTAATATTATTTTATTAATTAATTTCTTTTAATTTGCTAATAAAATAATTTATAATGATCTAAAATTATAAATTAGATTATAATTTTTACAAAATAATATAAGCTTTCTCTGGGTTAAGCCTGGTTGCATATGACGCCAAGTTCCATTGTCGGTAATTAACCATGAGTAAAATCTTTTGTGTATCTGAAACAATTTTCTCTAGCTTCAATGACAAATGAGACGGCGGCTGGTTGGCGTCATATGGAAACAGAGGCCGCGGAAGCAATAGGCATAGGCCAAAAAGGGCACTTTTGTATATGACCAAAATAAAACGAGCCGAACGAAAGTTTTTTAAAATATGGAGTCTCTATAAAGCCGGAAATAGCCTTTACAGAGTCTTTGCTATAATGCAAAAAAGGCACTTTCTTTCCAGCAGAAGAGGATGATCATTCAAGAAATACTTTTTTCTTTCTGTAAATGGGCCACTTTAACCAAGAAAAAAGGGCACTTTTTTCACTTTCCAAAGAAGTGTGTGTGGGGGGGGGGGGGCACATGCTCCATTGCACCCCCGGTTCCGCGACCCCTGTATGGAAACCAGGCTTTATAGTTATCCACTAACCAAAGGCTAGCAACTATACCTGGCCAACCTGAAATCTTGGTTAATGATAATACTAGTATACTTATCAGTAGTAAATGCTGACTTGCTCCTTAATTTGACGATATGTAAAAAACAGCCTCATCTTTCCATATTAACAACCCCATTCAGTTTACTACAATTGTAAGCTCCAACCTCTCGTAACTGTAAGCTCAACACTAATACATGCGTATATAAGCTCGTTGTGACGTCATTATCGTAAATATTATGAATAAACCTTGTTTCGCTCACAAATATATTTCTTTGATCTTGAGCGTAATCACAACCCAACCCTAACCCTACCTTTATTGTGCGCGTAACACGAGAATCCAACAATAAACTATTTCTTAATTTTTATCCTACCGTTACTCTAATATCTGTGACATCAGAACGACAATAGTATGGAAACTTGTACCCATTTTTGGAACCTTTTCACGAGACCACAATATCAGCCAATAATTATTTTGACCACAATAAGACCACACTGATTATTCAATGCTTTTAATCACACGTTGTCACTGAAAGAGACACCCTGTATACAATCGGCGGGCTATTGTATTGTCGTTATTTAATTGAATTTACTGCAAAGTCGGTTATAAACATTATTTTGCATCCAAGGACATCAAAATAAACCCGTGTTACTTCGAAAGCTAAAGTTGAGGATAATGTTTTTACCATTTTCGACACATGCATGCCTGACATAAAAAAGCATGATCAATGATAAAAAATATTCTATGCACATGCTTCAATCTACTGAATTGGGCCTGGTCGCGTTGCATGGTTAAACAATGCATATGCATACATTTCTGCATTATTACGACATTCTATCTTAAGGCTGCATTCCAGTTACGCGTTTTTCATACGTGCGTGGCGCACGTAAAAGTTGAATTCGCTTTACATCCTACTTATGAAATAACTAAATTTATAAAAGGACAGCATTCAGTATTGTGTATGATTTAATGCGTATTTGTTAAGGTTATTTGCACTTAAATGAAATTTTAAGCGAATTCAACTTTTACGGGCATGTAGTAAAACATGGACTGGACTCATTAGTAAAACATGGACTGGACCCGATTAGTAAAACATGGACTCTATTAGTAAAACATGGACTCTATTAGTAAAACATGGACTCTATTAGTAAAACATGGACTCTATTAGTAAAACATGGACTCTATTAGTAAAATATGGACTCTATTAGTAAAACATGGACTCGATTAGTAAAACATGGACTCGATTAGTAAAACATGGGCTCGATTAGTAAAACATGGACTCGATTAGTAAAACATGGACTCGATTAGTAAAACATGGACTCGATTAGTAAAACATGGGCTCGATTAGTAAAACATGGACTCGATTAGTAAAACATGGACTCGATTAGTAAAACATGGACTCGATTAGTAAAACATGGACTCGATTAGTAAAACATTCCTAAATGTAATGCCTTGTCTGTTTTTTTGTAAATTGTAATTTTAATAACATCAACTTTAGTGTATAAGAGGGCATGTAGTAAAACATGGACTGGACTCATTAGTAAAACATGGACTGGACCCGATTAGGGACTGGTCATAGAGTAACTGCTAGGGTGGGCTGGAGGTAAATAAAAAAATTTGCCAATAAGTTTGGTCACCCATCTTAGGATGTAGATAAAAATTTCAAAGCCCATCTAATCTTGCAAAACATTTTTCATGACCCACCCAATCTAAATTGGGAAAATACATTTTTATAATAAAAAAACTTGCAGTATGAACATTGTAAATATACACCGGCACTGTACATACATAATTCCACCAAGCTTGACCAACACATTCATCACCAATTACGATAATGAGCTGCTCTCCAGTTGGTTGTATTGGCTGTGATTCGACCACTTCTTGTTGTTGTATAAAACAAAGTACTGGCTTCAATAGCACCATTTGCATTTGATAATTTGGGTAGTTTTGTTTCCTTTTATTATTAATCTTTATTTTTTGAAATAGACATGCATGGGTTTTTGTTTGGTGGCCCAACCGTGGACAATGGCAGCCCATCGAAACTGCCCAGAGATTTTCCATGGCCCATCCCAAATCACTCCAGCCCACCCTAGCAGTTACTTTATGACCAGTCCCTTAGGGGCCGACCATTTCTTTGAAAGTTATTTACTGCTAGCAGGGTTTCTGCCGGGGATTGCGCTTTTTATCCCATCACCATGTACGATTTTTTTTGCCACACTTTCTTTCGCAGCATTTTTTTTTCAATAGCTTATACTATTTAGATTCTTTAATTATAGTTAACGTTGAGTTTTCCGCTTCATGCATTGCTCTTAATAATACATAGTGCTATGAGGTATAACATTTGGTTCAGGGCCTTTTTTAAAGATGTGTAACTGGAGAGGACATAAATAGCGGGGTACCTGGAGAAGTTCCAGTCGGCAAGTCTGTATCCAGGGCCGTAGCTAGCATG